ACTCGAGTCAATAACTTTTCCAGTTTTTTGTGGTAAAATTAGGTGCCTCGGCTTATATTCGGGTCGGCCTATACTCGAGTATATACGGTAATCACCTAACTCACACATGGTGATTCTGTGCGAGTTATAAAATTTCCAAAGCATAAAAACTGATATAATCCCCTCTCATTCACTCCAAAAGGTATCATTTGATTTTCTCTGTATCAGCTTCCATCTTAAAGATCTTCTGGAAAACTAACAAGTTGAAGGGGCAATCTTATCTCTTGGGGGGGGAGGGGATTATATTCATTCAAAAGATAGGGATCTACCACTTTTTCTTTTTCAGACCCTTTACCTTGGTCCCACCTGATTTCCCTAATAGATGGCACCCACAACATGCTCTGGTGGGTCAAGTAGATTTAACTGGGAGAGATAGTCCTCCCAATAACCTGGTGCCAAGCCATGTAGGGCTTTAAAGATGACAAGAAGCACTTTGAATAGCACCCAAAAGTAGATCAGTAACCAATGCAGCTTCTGCAAAAATCTCAATAGAAATTATATATATAAAAAAGAAAAAAATGCTGGTATTAATTTTCATTTATTAACATGCATTAAAATGTTAATAAAAATATACCTTGTTCAACTAATAATTCTGATTTTTCTTTATTAAATCTTAGAAATTCTTTGTTTACTGCCTCCAGTTCTCGCTGACACTCCGTTAACCGCTTCTCCTTTTCTCTCACAGTTTTCTGATGGTTTTGATACATTCTTCTAAGTTGCTCATCACTTCCTTGAAAAACCTAACATTGCAATGTAGGAGAAAAAAAAAACTTTTACAAATATCTCCCCCTCCCCCAGAGTGGGAGTCTTGCAAAGGCCAAAGAACATGTGATATAAAAAGCTAGATGATTATGACTGCCTTTACTAAACTTAAAACCTAGTCCACCAGTCTGCATTGTTGCCATGAAGATTGAGAAATACTGTAGTGGACTGGGAAAATGTTAACCTTTTTCTTCATCTAGCCCTCATCTCAGTTCTTAATGTTGCTGTACCACCTACTTGTGGATTTGCTCAGCAAAATCATTGCAATAGTAATAACAACTGCAAGAGAGATGACTGATTATAAACACAAAAGTTGCTGTGAACAAAAATCTAACCTTTACGATTGGGTCAGCATAACATTTACATGCAGTAGTCCTGATGTTACTTAGTTTGGATAATGAGATGTCTGCAAGGAAAAACCAAGCTCAGAGAGCACCAAGGATCACCTAATTTCAATCCTGAGCTACAAATATTCTCCTTTATAAATGCAGTTTATATATTCTACTTCATGCAAACATAATCAACATAAGAAAAACCTTCTCCATTTTTTGTTGCAGGTCTTCATTATCCTTTTCCATCTGCTTTCTCCGACTTTCCAAAGCTTTGCTTTCATTATCTAGTCTCATTACTTTTACAAGATTCTGTTCTACTTCCATCAAAGAGTTCTGAGAAAGAAAGAAATATTTACTGTAAGGAAGCTACCTAACAATTAGGAGGGATGATAAAAACAACCTTGTAAATAAACCCCTTAAAGGAATTAGTCATTTGGGCCAGAGGTGGGTTGCTACCATTTTGCACCAGTTCGGGCGAACCAATAGTGGTATTTTGGCCTTGGTCACAGAATTGGCAGCGACCCAGGTTGGCCATGCCCCCAAACCGGTTCCCTGGTGTTTTTTAGTAAATTTTTTTTATTAAAAATTTTTAATNCCGCCCTGAGTCCCCTTAGGGAAAAGGGCGGCCTATAAATAATAAATAAAATCTAAAAAAAATCTAAAATCTAAATCCACTTGTAGCTCCTGTAAATCGTTGTCATTGGGACAAAGACATGACTAAGGTTGCTATATATGTATCTTTACTGCTATCTAGTGGTTGCGCAAATGTTTGCAGCCTCGATATAGCATTACCTGCAGGTAAAATACTGGAGAGGCACTATTAAACAACTGATTAAATTACTTTTCATTTCCCTATCCTTCTTAGGAATTCTGTGATACTGGTCTGATATATAAAACAGCAGTCATCTTTTATGTGATTACTACATGATGAGAAAGAATGGATGTAATCTACTCAAGACGGAAGCAACCTGGAATTAAGGAGAAACTTTCTAACAGGGAGGACAACTAGCCAGAGGAACAGCTTGCCTCCAGAAGTTGTGGATGCTTCACAACTAGAGGTTTTAAAGAAAAGACTGGATAGCCACCTATCTGAAATGGTATAGGGCAGGGGTGAAATCAACTTACTTTTGCTACCAGTTTGCAAATGTGAGGGTATGTGTTTGTGTGAGCTCACTTCGCTCATATCCGCCATCTGCACAAGACCTTCCGGACATGCGCAGAGCCTCAAAAACGGGATGTGATGATATCTGGGTGGGTGGGCAGAGCCTCCCACCACTGCTGCTACTGGTTCGCCCGAACCGGATAGAACCAGCTGAATTGCACTGTATTGCACTGTATAGGGTCTCTTGCTTCCAGCTCTATTCTGATTGAAGACTTTTTTTTTTCTAGGAAGAAGTCACACCAAAATGCTCCTATTTTAAGGAGAAGTCCTGAATTGTATAAAGAATATATTGCTTCAAAATATACAACTGATCCTGAACTGTATGGTATCTATTTCTATACAGTACAATCATATTAGAGAACACAGTACCAACATTCTACAACCGATTGTTGTAGAAATATTAATATCAGTGCAAATACATTAAATAAACATTTTATTGTATTGGTTTGTTTGTTGTGCTGTGTTGCTAATGCTTTACTCCATTGAGTTGTAACTGACTCCTGCTGACTGTATGAATGAAAGATCTCCAAGTGGTAGTTTTTATTCTTGCATTGCCCAAATTTTGTAAGTGATTTCTGTAGTTTTAATACTCAGCATAGCCACTTCTTGTACTCTCTTCCTCCCTTTCATTTTTCCAAGCAGCACAATTTTTCTATAGCTACAGTATATCAGCCAGTGGTGGGATTCAAATGTTTTTCACTAATGGTTATGTGGGTGTGGCTTGGCGGGCGTAGTGTGGCTTGGTGGGTGTGGCTTGATGGATATGGCAGGAGAAGGATACTGTAAAATCTCCATTCCCACCCCACTCCAGGGGAGGGATACTGCAAAATCCCCATTTCCTCCCGATCAGCTGGGACTCGGGAGGCAGAGAATAGATGGGGTCAGAGGTGGTATTTACTGGTTCTCCGAACTACTCAAAATTTCCACTACCAGTTCTCCAGAACTGGTCAGAACCTGCTGAATTCCATCTCTGATATCAGCCCTTGTGATGTATCCAAGGAATGATAGTTTTATTTCATGATCCTTGCTTGCAATGCATTCTAACCACTCAACTCAAACATTATGACTCTGAAAGATATAGCATAAAAAAAAGAAACAAAACCACAGAAACCATCACAAATCTGTTAAAAACCAATAGGCAATTAGGGACCCACCCCTCTGTCTTCCTCCTGATATAAACTCTGATAATAAAAGATAATTAGATGCCCTTCAATTTAATATGTTTGAGAGTAGGAGTTTGCTTTAACATTCAATTATTAAAGTGAAATACTTTGTTCAACAACAAATTCTAAATGGAGAAATCACTTCTATTTGTCATTTTGAATTAAATTATTCCTTTACTGATTTTAGAGACATAGTTTGTGTGTGCATATGCATGTATGTGTACAGGTGCAAGGAATATGAAATGGAGACTCCATAAGCCTACAAGAAGATATTTGTTTGGACCTTCATTCTCTTTGAGCCCAGTAAATACCTCCTCTGACTGGCCCCGCCCCCATCTATTCTCTGCTTCCCGAGTCTCAGCTGATCAGGAGGGAATGGGGATTTTGCAGTAACCTTTCCCTGCCATGCCCACCAAACCATGTCACATCCACCAAGCCCAGCCCACAGAACC